CCCTCCCTCCCTCCCTCCCTCCCTCCCTCCACTTCGGCCCTTGCGGGGCAGGAAGAAGCCCCAAAAACTCTCCAGGGTGACCAAGAGGGCACATGTGACGGGGGGGGGGGAGGGGGGGAATTGAAACATCATGGGGGAGGGTTGTTGAGCACCCGAATTTTAATCACCTGACCCTGGAGATGCCGCAGTGCCCATAACTTTGGCCACCCACCATAAGCCCCTTCTTAAAAGCACCATGGTAATTTGAAGCTGTCATTGAGAAAAATGGCCGTAACTCGAGGACCCCTGTGTCGGGGGGGAGGAGGAGGAGGAGGAGGAAGAGCTTGGTTTGGGTTTTCAGGGCTTTATAGGCCGATCGGGAAACCTGGAAGATGGCAGAGAAGGGGAGGGCCCAGATCAGGAGGAGGCCCAGCCAGAGGAGGCCTTTCAGGGCTGGAGCAGAGTGGAATAGCAGAGTCGGAAGAGCCCCCGGAGGTCTTCTAGTCCAGCCCCTTGCTCAGCCAGGAGACCCTCCACCACCAAGAACGAAAGAGGCCATGAGCCCCTGGGAGGCCTCCTCCTCCTCCTCCAGTCTTGGCCCCTTTCCAAGCCAGGGTTGCCTCTCGGACATGCCCAGCCTTCCCTGGAGAAGCCCTGCTTCTCGGCCTGCTGAGGGCCCCTTACGGCCCAGGGGAGTCATGGGGGTGGGTGGGAAGGAAGCCGGGAGACCTTTGGGGAGGCCCTCGTGGTGTTTTGTGCTTCCCAGGAGTCTTTTGACGAGCAGCCCAGCCCCGCCTCTTCCCTTGGCCTGCTCTGCAGGGCCTCCAGGGCTCCCTTGCCCTCTGGTGAGGTCACTGCCAGGGCCTCCCTGACCCTCAGGCGCTGAATGCCCCTCCCCAAGGCATCTCGGAAGGTGACCCCCAGAGAGGCTCCTGCTCCCCCTTCCCACCTGCAGGAGGGGCTCCGTCAAGCACCCCACGGAGGCTCAGCTCCTCCCACAGGCTCTTGCAGCTGTGCTCTAACATCTGGCTCTCAAAGGGGCTACTGTGGCCAGATGGCCCTGGGGCCCCGGGTGCAAGGGGGCTTCTGGAGACTGGGCACGTCACGGCCGAGGTGGCTGTCCTCGCTCCTGCGTCCATCAGCCCCAAATGGGCCAAAACAGGTCAAGAGGGCGGCTGTAAGAATCCCGTCCACATCGCCAGGCCTCAGAAATGGACCATGAGATCCCACGTAAGCCCTGGACAAGTGGACACGCTGGACGTGTCACGTGATTCCATGTCAAAAGGGTGCAAGGCAGGCTGAGTCCACATTATCTTCAGCCCGGGGGGGGGGGGTGTATTTCTGGCGTGATGCCACTCATCCTCTTGAGATTTCTGGGAGAAAAGTCCCTGCCGGAGTGGGGTCCCTCTTCTCAGAAACCCAACTGGCCAAGTGGGGTTGGGGGGCATCTTCCGCCCAAGAGCAGGGGGGGCCTTCTAGCGTCCTCCTGCCCTGCTTTCCCTCCAAAACTGACCCCACACGCGCCGGCCTTTGGGCAGAGAAGTGCAGTGGCTGCGTCTTTCCATGGCGCCTCTTCCTGCCTCTTCCACCTGAGCTGTTGGAGCCAAAAACAGCCTCAGAATCCAGGATGGGGGCATCCTTGGAGGCCGTCGTTCTGCACGGTTGAAGAAGGCGGGAGGGAGAGCATCCCCGTTGAGGGGCTTGCACATTGGAAGGCCACCAGGGAGGAAGAGGGGAGGACCACCCGCCCCCTTGTCCTATCCTCAGGACATCCTCCTGCCATCCTGTCCCCTTGATGTGAGCTCTGCCTCTGTGGAAGCCTCCCTAGAGAGTCCCTTCCGGGGCTCCCTCCCTGGGCCAAAGGCATTCCCCCTTCTTTCGGCCTTTCTCTGGCAGCTTCTCCTCTTCTCCACCTTCCCTGCTGGCGGATCCTGGGACCCTCCTTAAGGGGGGCCAACAGCAGCTGGACTAAGGAGCTCCAAATGGAGCCCAGGAAGGAAGTGGAGCGTTCGTTTCTTATGACTCAGAGAGCTTAGACGATGCCACGTCTCAAAATAGCCCCACTAATTCCCTTCCCCTCCATCTTGCATTTTCTGTGGTTGAAAGGGAGAAGGTTCCGGATGGAGGGATGAGCCTGGTCCCTTCGGAGGAAGTGCAGTCCAGGTGATGGGACTGTGGGAGGCCCCTGGGTTCTGCCTCTGGACTCCCACTCCCCCCAGCCACCCTGGAGACCTCTGGCCAGTGAGCCCATCCAATGTCTAGCCAGAAAACAGCCCCCCCCCTCCCTTTCCCCAGGGCAGAAATCCTCCTGCTGCTCTGGACAAACTTCCCTTGAACTTCCCTCCAGGGCGGAAGACCCCCCCCTCTCCCCCATTCCCAAGGCAGGCTGCTCTGCTCACACAGCCAGGACATTCATCCTGATTGGGGTTTGGATCTCCCTCCGTAAGCGTCCACCCGCTGCCCCCTCTGCCTTTGGGCATTGCAGAGAACGAGCCCACCCCCTCCTCCTGGGAGCCTGCCAGCTGCCCTGCCTTCCCTCACTTCCTCTCCTTTAAACTGCTCTTCCACCCCTGGAGCTCTTCTCTGCACTCCCCCCAGTTCCTCAGCATCCCTTTGCATTGCGGGGAACACAGCTGGCCACAGTGTTTCAGGCGTGGACTCATCAGCGCAGTAGATGGTGGTGCTGTCGCTTCTCGTATTGCTGTCACCGTGCTGTCCTTGGCCCAGCCCAAGAGCGCATTGGCTCTTCTGCTCCCATTTAATTTGTGTCGCCCAGATTCTCCTGACAGGAACTGTGGCTGAGCCCAGCCCCCACCCTGGAGCTTTTGCATCCATTTTTCCTGTCTTAAGTGCAGATATTTCTCATCAGAGAGCATCAGTTGCTGCCTAAGGGCCAGGGATAGAAGCCCCTTGAGGTCTTTTTCAACCTCCAGCACGTCTTCTGCAAACGCCAGCAAACCCCCCACACCCCACCGCCGG